GCAGCCACCTCAAAATCCGCCGTAGGCCCCCAACCCCCACTCCCAGTGCTGCTGCCCGCCCTGAGCACAACCCAGCCTAGCCCCAGCCAGGAAGAACCTGGCGCAGCCCCAGCCCCCCCAGCAGCAGCCCACCCTGCCCTGCAAAGATCCAGGGGCACATGTCCCCCGTACCTTCCTAGTTTCCCACATTTTTCTCCTTTAAAGGAGAATGCATTTTTCAAGTTTATTCGCAATCCTTTCATGTATTCTTGTGATCCACTTTTAGGTCACCACCCACATGTTGAGAAACACTGACCTAGTCCAACCCTCTGCCTCAGGCAGGATTCATTCCTATCCAAACCATGCCATATGACCATAATCTAAGCTCTACACAAGACTACCCTCAACTCTGACACAACACAGGCCTAGCACCGTAACCTCCCACAGGTAGTGTAGGAGAGCCACAGCAGCCAACGTCCTCCTTCTATGAAATGATGTTAATATATGCTAAAGAGATCCTGGGTAGGTGGCCATGCCCCGCACTAGAGGAAAACAAAAACCCCACAGGCCATACCAATCTGACTACAGAGTAAACTTCATTCTTGACCCTAAATATGACTTGCAAAAAAGCTCAAGTTATTCAATCTTTCAGCCAAAATGTGAACATTGGTGTGTCAGCCTGGGTAATATTATATAGGGAGGAAAACTGGTAAGCCACAGAATCACAAAACTAATAAGCTACCATTCAAAGAGTGTTTACTAAAGAAGGAAGAGAGCCTATTAATTTTATGAAGGTATATAAATATATATTTTTTATTATAAAATGTGTGGCTTAAAGTAACCTACTCGCATACTACTGGGTACCTACAGTCTGGACTGAATTCACTGCCACAGCCACAGGAAGTCGACCAGGAAAGCACTCAGAACAACAGAGTGCAGAGGGGTGGAGGGACAAAGGCAACAGCAGCACAAATTCAGTATTAAATGTAAACAGGAGGCAGCAAAGTCAGGAGAAAAAAAGTGTCCATTTTCTTGCCTTTCCCATAGCAAGCAATTTACATTTGGGTCTTCTAGTGCAGTGCTTCTCAAAGTGGTGATCTGCGGACCGGTGCTGGTCCGCGAGCCACCGGTCACTGGTACGCAGCGAGTTGCCAGGAAAGAAAGAAATACATTTTCAGAAGCATAACATTGGAATGTACAAACTGTGGCGCTATGTCATATCAACACTCCAGGTGACGTCACATCGTGCAAGGTGAGGAAAGAGAAAGCAGCAGCCAATCCCACATTTGTGTAGCGGTGTTATACGCAGCTGCTGTCACCAGCTGAACCGTGCACCGGTCCCTGGCCCACTGGAAAAAAAATTGCCGGTCCGCCACATCAGATAGTTTGAGAAGCACTGTTCTAGTGGTATGCTGGTTCATTTAGTTCCTGGCCAAATTTCAACCATTTTGTATAAAGCAAGAGAAGTGATGAACCTCAATGCATTTTGCCAGACAACATTACAACAGAGAAATTTTCTTTTTAAGGGAAGGAGAAAGATCTCAGTTACACAAAGTGTACAAATATATCAATCTCTAAACATTTGACTTTTCACAAAAAAAGCAATCATCCAAGGATTCCTCATTTATTATTACCACAGGGGTGGTGGTAGGACAGTGCCAGCTCCAATTCCTTGCAAGGGGCTACTAAAATTGCATTACAATTATGTTTTGATGTGGTTATCTAGTAAAGAGTATGGGGGCCCAGAAATGAACCTTTGCACAAGACCCTCAAAGGCTTGGCCTGCTACTGTTTACCATCTTAAGATTTCAGGACATACCAACCTTCTTTCTTCAGCAAAAAGACCAGGATGCAGAACCCTCCAATGTTACTCCAACCAGGAACAGCTGCTGCAAAATAATGTGGTATTCAGTCACCAGCAGCTAGCTCAGAGAACAAAATTTGTGTTGCTTGCAATGATATTCTTCAAAGAGGGTACCGTATTGCCAATATTTTGACATTTCTCTTTTACACCAAGCACTCAACCTAAAGGAAAAAAATCTCAAGTACAGGGTCCATCTGCACTAGACAAAAGTGCACTGCTGCAGCTATGGCTGCAGGCTACGTCCTGAAAATACCATAACATGTTGAAAACTGTCATTTTGGATAGCGGGCAGTGGAATCTCAAGGAGAGAAGGGAGGAATCATTTACGCCATGTCCAGACCCAGAAATGTCCCATGTGTTGCACTGTAATATTCCCAAGGTGTCCATCTTATGGTTCTTTACACAACTCTCCAAAGCAGGTGCTTGGACTACAGGAATCGCCATACTGGATGAGGCTAGTAGTCCAGCAGATGTAACAAACCCTGTAGAGAATAAATAATGAATAGCCTACCCACAGGGAAAGGCTCTTCCCAATCCCCATTATTTAGTAATTGGATTATTATCTAGTCTCACAGTAAAAGCTCTCAACATTGTGAATGTTTTCATGTTTAAATGTTTTTAACCCAATTTTCCCCAAACATAGCATTTTAAGATAAAGAGTTCCATACATGGATTACATTTGGTATTAAAAAAAAGAACCAACAAAGTTGGGGAGAGGGAAGAATCCTGTTGAAACCCAAATACAATACACAACATACATAATCCCACTATTTTATGCAGTATTTTACTGCAACATTTCACGTAGTAATAGCCTGCTCAGTCATTTTAGGTTATCAGTCCAACTAAATTACCCGGTACTGAAAAATAACTGGTCCACATTTTCTAAAACCATGCTGTTTCTCTGTTAGACAAGTAAAATGTTATGTGGAGGACTATAACATAATATCCAACAAAACAAAGCTCTTACAAAAATTACACAATTATTTAATTATTATTACAATTATTTAATTTGGAAGTTTTTTCAGTACTCGTGTCTAATTTACCAATTTGTTCCAACATTTCCTCATTGCTGTTAGCCTGTCAGTACCTCATCATTATTATGTAAAACAATCAGGCCCTTCAAATATCCTCTTTTCTGAAAAACTAATAAAAGGAAGCCATTTAGCTTCTATGAAGTTTCTCTACCCTCCTTTATTGCCCCCCTTTAATATTAAAAGACTGTAAGAGAATTGATAGGTCTTGTAGATTACTAGGTAAAGAAAAGGGTTTTTTTTTTTCTAATTGCCTTTCAAATCTCCTCTTTGACCTCCTACTTCAAATTTTCAGATTAAATTATGCAAGGTAAACTGCATGCACTTCTTTTATTGACTTTATCTGGCCTAGATTTTCAGCCTTTGAAGGATTTTAGTTTATTAGAAATAATCTCTTTGAACCTTATCATTCAAGCATATAAACTTTAAGTCTTGCATTCCTGCATCACCGGTTCTTTTTAATTTAGCATAAATGCATGAGGTAAGTGACTTAACTATGGCATTCTTATGTAACTTCCATAACAAGTCTAGGATATTGGTTTCCTTGCATCTGAGTCCTGTTATTTTGAGATCACCCTCCTTTAAGTTTAATCACAGTGCTAGGTTTTTCTTTTTGGAACCTCCTTTCCTCCAAAATGCAAACGGAAATGGAGCAAAACATGTTTAGATTGCAAATTATTAAATCTTTGAGGCTTTAAAGTCCATTTAAGCTTTAGCAAGTAAGTAACTCATTGTCACCAAGATATTCTGCATACACAATATTATTCCTGGGATCTAATGATGTTCACATGCATCCTGTGGTTGTGTGTCCTTTTAATTCCAGTTTGTGACAGTAGAATGCATTTAGAACACTCTTCTCCCACCTTCACTTAGCCTGGCACCACATGGAAGTGGAAGAATTCAAATGCAGCACACATGCAGGTCAATTAGTTTTAAAAACACAAAACACATTAACATTTTTTAGTCCCAATCCCAACGCTCCTTTTACTTTGATGGGATGTATAAAACAGGGAGAGGAGTGTGCGTGTGTGGGGAGGGGGAGAAAGTTGGAGAACCGGCTGAAGCCTCAGGACTGCTTTTTCAGTAGAGCTAGCAGATTCTTCTTCCTCTCATATTTCTTCCAGGACCACAAGGGGAGAGAGGAGAGAGGGAAGTCCAGTTTCTCACAACACAAATGCTAGATGGAACAGCTATGGGTTATAAGTTTGAGATAGAAAACTAGAGGGTACCATATATTTTGCTAGCTAGTCTTTGTGTGCCATTTCCATAATGTTCCTTAGTCTACCCCATCAACCACTTCCAGGTGCCTGATGGCTGGGAAATTCTTCCCTTCTTACAGAAGCAGCAAACAGGTTTCCATGGTTTTGTATAAACTAGATTTCTATTGCCTCTATGTAATGTTTATTCCAAAATTCTGATTTCCTTTATTATATGAAATAATACACAGTATTTCTGAAGCAGAGATGGAACTGGAGAGAAGATTCTGCACTGGTAAAGCTGCATGAAGGCAGTGTAAAGGACTTGCTGGTGCACTTTATGGACAGGAACAACAGGGCTCTCCTTCTGGTCTGTGCGTACAGATGCAAGATTTTGACAATCATAGAAAAATTGCTATTATATAACAAGAGAAAAAGCATGGAAAATTTATCATAAAACTGGGAGAGGGATTTACAGAAAGGTCCCTCAAGATCTTAATGGTGAATTTCAAGCTGATGTCCCTTCAAAGTGGTAATTTCTAGTTCTAGATGGCAAAAGGCACTCAAATGTAAAGACTCTCCAAAGAGATGCATTTTTCTTACATAGGCAAGACATCAGAAATAGTGTATCACCCTTCTCACCCCTGTTTTTGTTGAAGGGCCGTTTAGATATTAAATAGAAACTCTGAATCTATGAAAAGTTGGCAAGACCAGAAGGGACCACCTATAAAATACAGGATACAAAAGGTCAAACAGCAATTCTTATAGCAAGCCCCCTACTGAACCTAACTGAAGCAGAATCCTCCAGAAAGACTTCATCTAAAAACTTTAAGATTCCACAACTTCCCTTAGTTGTTTGTTCCAATCATTTTCACTTTGTTCGTTACAAATCTGTGTTTTATTTCGACTTTAAAATTTCTGACTTATTTTTACTACTTATTTTTATGCTTGAGGGGGTTGGGGTATAATAGCCTTAAGAGAGAACTTATGTCATTACCTTAGTTAAATAAGAGTAAAAACTGAAAAGTTTAAATAAAGTGCACATATCTTTAATCAGGTTTCATGTACTTAATGTATTCAAAATGTTGTTGTTTTCCAGACAGCCATGTTTTTTCAGACCATGCAAGACCTGAATGTCTAACACATGCACCTTTTCAAACATGCCATTTCTTTATAGAAGGAAGGACAAGGAAACAAACTAAGCTTTTAAATGCCAATTTGGTACTCCTTCATTTACGTATAGAACAACGAGCTTTTGGCCACACAGGACTTTGGAGACTCAGTTAGTGAAAACCTGCACTGCAGGACAATAAGGATTGGAAGAAATTGCATTCTTGGAAAGCAAATGAAATCAACAGTCTGTTAGCAGTTACATGCAATCACCACTAATAGATCTTTTGATTGCATCAAAGAAAATCTGAAAAAGCTATACTTCAGTAAAGAATCCCTGATTTGCTCCTATAATGTCCCATACTGTAGAACTTCATACCTTCTACAGTAACTGATCAATCCATAATTCAAGAAGTGATACTGACCTCTAACAAGCTAGGTGGATAGCAAGAAATATTCCAGCCTCTAAATTAGGGAAGAACAGCCCCAGAACACTGAGATGATAATTTAGGCCAGGGATGACTAAGATATAGCCTGCAGGCCAGATGTGGCCCATGGAGCTGCATGAGGCAGTTAGCCATGTGCATCTGAAGTCAGTCAGAAGGCAGGGGGCATATGCACCTTTATAAAATGCTGCCACTGCTTATCCTTGCCACCAAACTTCTGGACCCATGGGGAGCCTTATGGGCCAGATCCACAGCATGAAGTCACATCATCTGACTTGCAAGGATGCCTGCAGGGCCAGAAATTTGGTGGTGAAAGGCGTGGCAGTTGCTATGGCTCTGGGAGTTGCAGCAATTAATGTTGCCACCAGATTCCAGCCCCATAGGCCAGATGACAGACCGCCCCCACACCACTCATCTGGTCCATGTGGCCAAATGAGTTGGACACCACCGGTTTAGACTACAACGTACACAAGGCAGAACCAGATGAAGGTACTGAAGGATGCAGCTTTCTACTGGAAAAAACCTATCTTCTATAAGATACTATAAACAACTAGGCAGGACCACATACATTTTAGGTATTTTGAAGTGTTAGAATATTTAAAGTAATTGAAAGATCTTATCCTAAGATCTTCCGCAGTTTTCAAGAGGGACTCATAACACACTGGATCACTAAAAAGCTCTCTCCAAGAAACATAAGGAAGGGCCTAGAGGGAGAAAAGCAATCATATTTCTGCTTATATATTTGAGAGGGGAAAAGTATGGGATGGAAACAGAAGATTCTTAAGTTCCTCTACACAAATAGGCATGCACCTAATTTATGCCCTAGCATCAGCACCATTTGAAGAAGCATCTGGTGACTTACACATCAATTTGCCATCCTCATTCCACATCCAGCTTGCATCTTTTCAAAACAGAGAGTATACACTTTATTAGCTGAAAAGTGACTTGAGGAAACTGCAGCAACCATACCCTTCTAGACTCCAGATATCTCTAATATCTACAACTTAAGGAAAGACTGACAGGTGGCTGAAAGAGTACAATGGTTTATATATTTCTTTAACTGAATGTTATGATGGATCTTCAAGAGAAGCATTAATAGGCTTATTCATACTTGGTAAACCAAGCAGACATTTTAAGTGTTCCAATTTTAGAATAATATTCACTCCTAAATTTTTTGTGAAACACACATTGTTTCCTGACCTCTACCAAAAAGCAAACTGCTTAATGGAACATCTGAGCAAAGCATATCATCTTCCTTCGCACGCGTTCTCAGAGGAAGTTAACTTGCAAGACTGAAGACGTACAGGTAAAAATTGCATGTTAACTAGAGAAAGAGAGAGAGAGGATGGAGGTAAGTGGGGTATAATTACCTGGAGTAATTTATTTGTATAACAGTTAGGGAGTGAGCAAAGAACAAAAGCACTTTTATAGGGAATGGAGATAAACCCAAAGTTAAATGTTACTAGAAAAGATGGGTATTTTTATTTCCTCCCTTGTACAATGCTTTTTCCATTCATCAGCATTGGAGATGCAAGCTGCTGAGACAGAAACTGACTTTTTTCAAAGTGTTTGCACATTATTTTCAGACAGTTGGCATTTAGACCGTACTTCTTTGTTGTTAAACTACACAGGGGGCTGGTGCCTCCCTTCCCACTGTAGGATTTATAATTTGGCCTTTTTTTTTCCCTTTCTTTCTGAGGGAATCACTACTTTGTATGTCCCACAGATGGGAGAGGGGAAAGAATGCAGCACACCCACTGGAGGATGCTCCACTGGGACTGGAATCCCCCCCCTCCCCGGGCAGGGGGGCCAGCTGGGGAAGGCCCTGTCAGGCAGCACAGAGGAGCTGTCCAGGTCCAGGCCACTGCAGCACAGGTGTGGTGGGAGGCACAGGGAGTCTGTCACCCTGCCCAGGCCCCACCATTGTGGGGAGTGGAGGTGGGGGCTGAGCAGAGCAACTGTGGGGCTGGGAGTCTTGCTGCTGAAGCAGTAAGGCACCACAGAACCCCAGGAGGGGAAGGGGAAGGCAACACAGCACCAGGCACACAGTGAAGACATAAGAGGCCAGGGCTGTTTCTGCCAGAGGTCACTAAACTAGGAATGAGCTACTGTTTAACCAATATAATTAGAGGAGGTTAAATAGATAATTTTTTAAAGGATACTTACATCCCTAACACACACACACACACACACACACACACACACACACACAGAAATAGTGTCACTATTGACTACAGAATGTTACTAAGAAGTTGCAAGACCCTTAACATGACTTATAAGCAGATCAAAAGCAAAATGACTGATCCCATCCTCAGAAGCCTACTCCTGAAGAGTCTTCTACCCTCTTCCCCCTGCAATCTTACATCAGTTATTCAGCTGTTAATTAATCTCAGCAACTGGTATAGAGGGAAGCTAGTTTCAACTAGGCTCCAAGGCCCACTTCATTATCATCTAGGCCAGTGGAAGCAACCTTTTTGGCAGGCATGCCACAAGATAGCCCCGCACCCTCCCCACGTACCACTCCAAACCCCTTCCCATGCCAAGTCAGCTGCTCTACCTTCTGCTTCCTGCCCTGTGCTCCCTGCCTGATCTGATTTGATCCGATTTGCTTTCCGCTTCGTTCACCATGCTTCTCATTCAACCTGTTGCTCTGTTTTTTGCCCCCGCTCTATCTGCCACTGTGTTAAATGTCCGCACCCCAGTCTGCCATGTGCCCACACAGAGGCTGCTTGCACCAAGAGTGGCACGCGTACCACAAATTGGCCATCCTTCTTTTAGATCAGGGGTTGCCAACACCCCCCCGCCCCGAGCCACGGCCTGGTATACAGAGTATAAAAAAGGACTGGCTGCCTGCCGGCAATATGCTGGTCACTGCTGGTCTGCGGTCACTTTCAGTCCATGGTTTGCCTGTCTGCAGCATAAAAAGGTTGGGAACCCCTGATTTAGATATCTAAGGGCCCCTCTATTAGACATGGGACTAACATAGGAATGGGTGAAAGGAACTAAATATTTATTTCTCTAGAGATTTCTCCCTGTCCACTAGAAGGCCTTCAGGGTTTCCCTTTATTTTTCCCTCTCTTCTTACTTCCTCCTCATCCTCCCCCAAGAAGGGGAAGCATGACACTGAAAGGAGCTAAGGAGGGGGGGAAAAGAGTAGTGGAGGAAAAGAGTGAGGAGTAGAAAGGAAATAAAAACATGAGCTATGGAATGAATGAGAATAAGTGAATTAGCTCAGCAGGCATCAAGGAAGGGACAAATAGAATGAAAAAGAGTTCAGAGAAAGAGTGAAGGTAATTGAAGAGCTTTGGCTCTTTGATTTTAAAACCTCAGTTTATTGCCATCACTCATTCTCTACAGAAGTCAACAAAAAAGAAAAAAAAAGGAGAGGGAATATAATCCCAACAGCATGTCTCCAGCTGTAACTATTCAAGCACCCTAAAATTGTTAAGAATTATTAACTGTCTCAAGGAGGAAAAAATCCCACACACTTTGTCTCTCAAAGAAGGTCCATCTATCTTGAAGCTCCATCAAACATTCAGAAATCATCAAGAAAAGAAGTACAAGAGTGCTCATTCTTGAGTAAGAGTCTTTAACAAAGGAGATCTTCCAGGTTGACATGCAAATTTATCTTGGGGGGATATATTTCCCCCCATGATAAATTCAATGAAGAAGTGTACATCTTGTAGTTTCTAAGAGGAGAGCAACAATTCTCCCAGTAGATACATAACACCTGTACGGGGCTTAAAACCACAAACAGGTGTTATATTTCTACTAGGACCATCTACTGGCAGGAAAAATAAATATAATACAAATGCATAGTGCCAAGTTTTGTTCTTTATTAATTTACAGAAAATAACAATTGGTTAATATTAAACTTGTCTAATCTTTCACAATAAACTTGGTGTCTCACCATTTTTCTATTACCATTAGATGCAGAATTCCTCTACAATAAAAATTTCTAATAGTCAACATCAAGCTAATCAATTTAACAATCTAATAAATGAAAAAATATGATTGATTTCATTCCAAATATAATTCTCACATCTCAGTGAATTTGTTGACTGCAGGAGAACAGTTTAAAGATATTTACGAAACTGTTCCCTAAAAAGTTATACTATACATTCAAAAACTCCTCTAGAAGTAAAATTAACTACAGTCATTAGTATTTATTGTTTCTCATTATTCACAATTAACATTTGAAATCAGGCACTTCAACAGCCATCTTTAGGCAGTG